GGTTCCAAACCTGGAATAACTGTCGTAGTGGCCCCGGTCCTGAGAATAATTCACCGGAGCTGTCCCAAACCTGAAATAACCCGCCGGGGCCACCCCGAACCTGATATTGAGTCACGCCAACGTGTCCGAACCAGAAATAAACAACCGTAAAAGTCCCGAGCCTGACACATTCCACCGTGAGGGTGTCGACTCTGAAAATAAATCGGTGTGACAGTCCCAAGCCTGACATAAACTGCTGCAGTGACCGCGGACCGGAAAATAAGTCACCGTAATGGTCACTACCCTGAAACAAACTGACGATGTCCCCATACCAAACCACGTGCATGTCGGATACCGTAGGACGCGGCCACTCCATAACAATACCGAGCCTCTCCGAACCATGTATCCGTACCGAGCCAAATATCATACTTTCGGCCCAAGGTAGCACCACCCCATGCTGTCTATGCGACTCCCGCTCTCAGAACATCCCAACTGCGGTAATGTTAGTAATCAAGCAAACCAGGGAAAGCGACACAGGGAATCTCAGCCATAGGGAGTAGTGAAAAATTGTTGGAATCCAGAGAAAATGATCAATCCGGGGTCAGAGCTGATGGCGGGTAATCGAGGCGAAATTAGGCCAATCTCCCAATAGTCATGGGTTCCCGTCCCTCTCATCGTTTTTAATCATTCTTCCTTTCCTTAATTCTATTGTCGGAAATAGTAAATTAACCGTAAATTCCCCAAAATTAACTTCCGAGAAAGTTTAAATAAATGGCCGAATTTCTTTTGTTCCTTTTCTCTTTTACCATTTTTATTTTTTTTCCATGTTTTTAATTTCATTGTCGGGAACATAAAATAACAAGGGTATTCCCCCTAGAATTAAATGCCGTGAAAAATAAGGAAATTAAGGGATATTATGTTTTTCTCTTCTCCCTTACTGGTCTTAATCCCTTTTCCCCATCTTTAATTATGGTACTAAAATAGACAAAAATTTGAGGCCTCATTTCAGCCCCGGTCGTATGCTGCAAAAACGTTGCGGCGGTGTTAGTTCCCGCGATGCCTCCCCGCGGCAGGCCAATTCCGGTCTAACCCTCTGAACGGCCGGAAATGACGGTCCCTAGATGTGCCGAGTGCGGCCCCCCATCCTGCCATCTTTGAGGGTTGCTCGTAAGGTTCAGTGCGTCCAAAATCAGGGGTGCCCTGAGCTCCCCTAATTTTTGCTGCCTGGTCAAACTAGAGTACCGTCAAAACACGGACTCGTCTTTGAGCCTAAGTCCCAAAACCACAGATTTCAGGCGGCGCACCGCTTGTGGTCGCCTGACAGTTAGCCCGGACCACTTCTCGACGCCCCCGTCGAGCCCTAACCACTTACGTGAAACGAAGCGGGCGAGCTTCAGGGTGATTGCCCGTAAAGGGCACCCACGTCGACGTTTAATTGTCTTAAGTTTCAGTTTGTTATGAGTTCTGGGGCTAAGAAGATGTCTCTTGACTTTTCTCTTCCTTCGGGATCTTGGCCTTGGTAGGATCCTCTTTTTCTTCCGGCGTTGGCCCGAGAAAGGTGCCGATCCGCCAGTTTGTCTAATGCGAACTCTCCGTCTGGCCCTCTTGAGCATGAATAACCATTTCTTCTCTCTTCCTAATGCCAACCCTTTGACCTTTCTTCTCTCCACTCTTTTCCTCTTCTTGGATCTTTCCCCTGCCTCGAATCGTCTCGAGGGGGTTCCATCCTCCATTTTAGCCTTCCCTTTCCCTTTCGGGCCCGTCAGCGATAAGGTGGGTGTTGGCCTGGGTCTAAACAACTTTAACCTTGCACCCGCCACTGGGTCCTTCCACTTGGATCCGTCTAATTCTGCTATCATATAGGTACCCCAGTCGAGCGCCTTAACTACTCTGTAAGGTCCCATCCATCTGTTGGCGAGTTTTCCGGTCTAGGTCCTCTCCAGTGCTGCGTCGTAGAGAAGGACCATATCCCCTACGCTCACCCTCTCTTTCCTGATCCGCACGCTCTTATTCCATCTCTCCTTTCCTTTGTCCCTCTCCACTGCCAGACGATCTGCCGCTGTCATAAGGTTGTCTTCCAAGTCGTAGGCTATTTGTCTTGTTCGGGCAGCTATGAGTTCCTCTCTGGACATCTTCTCCGCCCAGTCGACGGTTGTCCAACTGTCGACGTGAAACTCTATGGGGAGCGGATAATGCCGCCCAAACCACAAGGTGTATGGTGGGTATCCAGTGCTAGCCCGGACCGTGACGTTGTCCGCCCATATCGCGTATCGAAAATATCATGGCCAATCATTGTCCTTACCTTTGCACCACTTGGACGGTGACGCTATTAGAGTCTGGTGTCCCCTCTCTACTGGAGATTTCGATTGTGGGTGGTAGGCGGTGGCTATCGAAACTCTCGCCCCGACTCTCTTGAACACACTCTGAACCTCGTCAGCTAGAAACTCCGCCCCTCTGTCCATCACTATCTTGCTGACACAACCATACCTAGATAAGTACTCTAGGACAAAGTTTTTTACTTCCCTCGCCGTCTTACTCCTGATAGGTCTACCGTCCACGAACCAGTGAAGTCGTCTCGTATGTTCACAACGTAGTTCATATTGCCTACTCCTTTCAGCATCTTCACCAGATCGATGTGTACCTTTTCTCCCGGCCTGGTCGGATAGGATGGATGAAGTGACTCTTTGTACTTCACAAGAGCTCTTTTCTGACACTCCTCGCAGGTTATACAGTATCTCTCGACGTCCTTATACTATCCTTCTCACCAGTATAGCCTGCGTACCTTTTCGTAGGTCCCTTTGACTCCTCTATGTCCTCCGAGTACCCCGTCGTGAAGCTCCGCAACTATCGTCTGTCTCTCCTCAGGATCACAGACTACTCGTAAGGGCATCCCCGACCCGACTGGTCTACGGAATAGATGGTCCGCTCTAAGGCAGTATTGGGCTGCTTGTCTCCGGATATCCGAATCTTGACTCTCCTCTCCTGACAAATGTAGCCCGATCGTTCAGTATTTGCCCTCGTAAAGGTTAACCAGAAATCGACCGGCGCGTCTCGGCTCCGCCATTGTCAGGGTTCCAGCTACTATCGGGCGCTCGGCCTCAAGAGAGATCCGAGAAAGCCCATCCGCCACAGCATTTTTAGTGTTCGATATCCTCTCAACTGTGTAATCATACAGCCAAATCCGTATTAACCATCGTGCGATGGTCGGGTCCGTCAGACTAAAGTCCTTCTGGAGGACAGAGGCGACCGTTGTGGGATCTTCTCTTAAGATGAACCGTCGTCCGTATATATAGTGTCTGAACGTGTCTAGACACCGCAGAACGCCTAACACTTCCTTCTTGAATTGACTGTAGTTACGCTCAGCCGTATTAAGTGTCATACTCTCAAATCTTAACGGTCTTTCCTTCCCTTCAACGTCTTTCTGAGACAGCAACCCACCTACTGAACAAGGTCCTACATTCGTGGATGCTATGAAGGGTCTCTCGGCCTCATCATCAAAGAATGGCACGCCCAGTACGCGTCCTCCCTCCTTAAATTCGTCTTTAAGCTCTTGCATAGCGAGTTGCTGCGAGGAATCCCAGTAGAATTTCTCAGTCTTTCGAAGGAGTAGCCTCAAAGGCTCAGCCTTCTCCGCATACCTCCGTATGAATATCCGCCAGTAACCGACCACTCCCAGAAACTGCCGGACCTCGGTAGCACTATGTAACGGCGACGACCAGTTTAGGAGTTTGTCTAGCTTCGCAGGATCCGCTCGGTGTCCTCTCGAGTCGCAGATAAAGCCTAAGATCTTAATAGTCGAGACGACCCCTCGGCTCTTTGTTCCGCTGACCGTCAAATTTGCGTCATCCAGCTGCTCAAGTATCGCGCAGATATCGGTTAGATGTTGTTTGACGAATCTTCTAACCCTTGGCACGACCTCTGTCTCATCTTTCTTTGCTGGTCCTTTTATAGGAAAGTCATCCACGAAAACTTCAACCTTGTCAGGAATAAAGTCCTTGAGGACGACCACCATGGCTCTCTGAAAAACGGCTACCCCATTAGTCCAACCCATAGGGACGACCATCATCTGTATCAGTCTCAATGGCGTGTGCATAGCCGTGAGGTGCCTGTCCTTGGGATCAAGCGGTACCTCATCATAGACCGAATAAATCGACCTGCCCGCGGCGCCTTCAGCCAGCAAGTCGGCGTGAGGCACGGAGCCTACGTCTCGAATCGTTACCACGTTGACCTTCTAGAGGTCTTGGATCCACCGGATCTTGCCATTCGGCTTTCGCAGGAAGAACCATCGATTAACATAAGCGCTGTCAGATGGCTCTGCAACATGAGAAGCCATTTTTTCTTTCAGGAAAGCGATAACCTCTTCCTTCTCCTTCTGGGCGTATTTCCATCCTGCGTCATTCCATGGAACATTCGGAATCATGTAAATCCTTACTGGCTTAGCGTATCGGGGGTCAACCCTACCGCGCTCCGCGTCGATGAAAACTATAGCCTTATCGCACGTCTTTAGGATTTCTATCACACGTTCCCGCTCCTGTGGGGTCAGGTTTCCATCTCCGATGTCCATCCCTGCTATCCTTTCTTCCGTTAGGCGTTGCGGCTCCCTTTTCTTCCTTCCTTTTATTTCCTTTGCAATCTCTTCTTCAGATATCCCTTCCAGTGCAGATCGCTCGCGGCCCACCGCTGCTGGCTTAACTTTCTGGGCCATTCGCTTGTGTCGCTTGGGTAGCCCCCCATAGGGGGCTGTGCCCTTAAAAAAGACACAGATACCACGCCGCCAAATTCCTCATCTGCCTCCTTTGGATACGAGTTGTCGTTCACTATCAGCCGACTCCCTAAATCTTCCACTTCTACAATCCGGCCTTCTTCTTCTGTGAGCAGTGGTCCATACTTCTTCTCGCGAAATCCCACTGTGCGACCGGAGATAGGTAATGACTTAATCTGATCACCGGGTCCTGCTCCCACAGCGAGGGCTGCTCTGTTCCTCGGGTCTCGAGGCTCCACTGTCTCAATCATAATTCGCGCCTCATCTAGCTTCTTGATTGACAATGTCTGGCTCCCGTCGGGCCGCTCTATCGTCACCGCATGCACATGGCTTAACCACGTTCGTCCCAAGAGCAGGTCAGAGCTGCAGCTCTTGACTGCAAAGACCGCCAGGGTCACTCGTACCCCTTGGACGTCTATGGCTGCCTTGTGACAAACCCCGGTGATCTATTGCTTTCTCCCATCAACCGTCTCTATCTCGAATAGGTACGACCTATCGAGGCCCAGTCCAACTTGCACTGCCAGATCTTCGTCTATGATGACAGCCTCACTGCCCGATCACAGCATCCAAAACCGCTCCATCGTTTAGGACCGCCTCCACGGTCCCACTTCCAAGTATGTAAAACTTGTCTGGAGGCACACCTTCTATCCCATCAAGAAGAATTGTCGCCATGCGATCCGCTCTAGCTGTCACCTCCGATACTGCTACAGTAGGAGCATCCGCCTTTGAGGTCACCTGAGTCTCCTCTGATAGAGGTGTGCGAGTCTTCCGCGTGATCATCTGTAACTCGTCGCAAGCCGGCTTGGACGCCGCCAGATATTCCAGAATAGAGCACTGCATGGGTTGCCGAAGGGCCCGTCTCAGTGGCTCGACCGTGTCAATCTCATCCAGCGAACTCTTCATCAAGAACTTCTTCACTCCCCGCTTTCGTGGCGAAAGAATAACCTCCTCTCCATCGATCCGTTGTCCGTCCTTCTCCGCCATCACGTAATCCGTGTCGGTCTTCTTCGATGTAGACCCCCTTGCCGACTTGGTAGATGCCACCCTTATGGGTGTGGTTGCCATATCTCCTTCGAAAGTTATCTTGATGCTCTGGCTCCTAACCGGTTCCTTTCCTTTACTCGGCTTTACTCCCCTTGCTTCAACATTCTCCTTCATCGAAGGGAACATTGATATGTCTTCCAGATCATCTGCCCACTTGACATACTTGCGGTTATCAAGCACGACAAGTCTCTCATCTATTGCCCGTTTGAGATCCGGGCAGTCCCTCTTGATATGATCATCTCCTCTACAGTAGATGCAAGAGTTCCTGGGAGTGGGTGACCTGTCGTCCGCGCTCCTGGAGGTCGAACCCCTCGCTGCTCTGGGGTCAGGGGACTTTGTATACGGATCGGATGACGCGCCATATCCCCCTCTCTCATTCCGGCCGCGCAAATCATTGCGGCGGTCTCCTCCAGATTCTCCTTGCTCATATCGTCCCCGGAAGTAATTCCGGCGGTCTCCATGGTCGTATCGCCCGCGTGACTCATCGCGTCGATCTCCTCAGTCGTACCACCCCCGCGAATCGTCGCGTTGTTCTCTCGTGAATCCCCCGCGGTCATACCGTTCGCGCAAGTCATCTCGTCGGTCTCCGTCTCAATCTCCTCTATCATACCTGCCACCCCTGTATCCATCTCGATCCGACCTCTCATATCTGTCGTCCCTATATCCATCTCGATCCGACTCTCATATCTGTCGTCCCTGTATCCGTCTCGCCGGCCCTGATCTGACTCCCACCGGCCTCGAGAGTCGCCTCTACCCCCATCAGCCTCTTGGCTAGGGCTACGCGAATAATCATCTTGTCTCCTAGCTCGCCCATACGTCTCGCGTGCCCTGCGGTCCCGGTCTATATCATCATCTCTATGTCGTCATGGCTCATCGTCTCTCTCCCTTTCCCTCGTACGATAATCAGTCAGCGTTCGAGGATTTATATCCTCGACACTCCTCCAGGAATCGATGTTCCTACGGTCCTAGCAAAGTGAATAGGGCCCTCCGGGTTTGTCCTGGTAAGTCGTGGCTCTTGTGGTGGTCACAATCTCTGTAACCTGTCTTGTCAATCCCTTTACCATGTCCCTTATCTCCTTCACTTCCTCAGCCACGGCTTCATTCTTTTTCGACCAGGGATGGTCCTTGAAATCAAGACATCTATCAGTGGCATACTACTAATAGAGAGAGAAGTCACGTCTCCTCATTCCCCTCCATACCAAGTCCTTGTAGTCGTCTGCCTCTGCCTTTATCGCGAGCTTTAGGACTTCAAGGAAGTCAAGCTTGTCGCGCGGGAGATCTCTAAGTATACTCTTTTGCCTGCCTTTGGACAGGTGTCCAATGAAGATAGTACAGCGCTCGACCTCTGAGATCTTTCTCTTCTTCATCAGCACGTCAGAGATCTTCTGGAAACGCATCCCAAATGCCCGCACGCTCTCATCTTCATCTTGAGTCATAGTCTCAAGGTCCTTGATGGAGTACTTGTTATCATCTAATTTGTAAAGCTTAATGAGGTTCTTCTTATACGTAGTCCATTTCTCAGCCTTCGGTCGGGCTTCCTTAACTTCCTTGTCGAGACTTGGATCCACATTAAATAGAAAGTTTTCTATAATCTCTTCCTCCGACCACTGACTCTGGCTAGCATGAAGCTCCCACTTCTCTAGATATTCTGTGATGTCATAACCCCTAAAAGAAGGAGGCTCCTAGGCCTTGCGCGTAATAATGTAGCGATCCTTGCTCTCGTAAGGGAGCGGATGGGACTCCCCCGTCTGGGGGTCGAAGACACGCCGGGGCGGTGCTCTATCCCTGTCTTTGTCCCTCCAATAGGAATCTCGTGAACTCTCTCTCCAGTCGTCCCCGTGCCTATCCGCCCTGGTTTCCCTCCGTTCATACTCGGGGGAGCGTCGTGTCGTCGCTTCTCGTCGAGCGCTCGAGGTTTCAGTCTTCAGAGCCTCCTGCGGCTCTGTCACGGCCGGCTCGCCCATTACGTCGGACTCTCCGTCATTGGTTTAGTCAGCCCATCTCAGCGGTGCCCCCTGCCTAATTCGTTCCTTCAGATCCCTCAGTGCTCGGTCGGGCGATGTCTTGTACTCCTCTCTTGTTTCGCCCACGGTCGGTTGTGGCCCCATCGTGTCTGGTTCCAAAGGCTACCGGAAGTTATAATCGGGCACTTACACCAGGCGTTACAGCCCGGACCTATGACAGTTGGAGCAGCCCGGACCTGACAAAACTCGCAGCCCGGACCTGATGTCAGAACCGGCAGCCCCGACCTAATGTCAGAACTGGCAGCCCGGACCCAATGTCAGGACTGGCAGCCCGGACCTAATGTTTGATCCGGCAGCCCGGACCTATTGTCTTATCCGGCAGCCCGGACCTATTTGTGAACAGTCCCTTATGTCCTAACAACTACGCTAGGAACTTCTTCAGTTGGGGTGTTGGGCTGGCTTAAAATTAGAGCTCACGGACAACAACCCGGCCCAATTTTGAGTTGTCCAGGGGCGCCACAAACCCTRGTTAGCAGAGCCTAAGAGAAGGAGTGGGCGGGAGGGCCGCAACCCTGATCAGCGGCACCCTGCAGTATGCAAAAAGCTTAGTGAGAAGGGTGGGCGGGATGGGGGAACACCTCTAACAGCAAACTATCGTATGAGAAAAGAAAGACTAAGAATAATCATAATTAGGGATGTGAGAGAGCCTCAAGAGACATTGGTAGAGAGAAGTACAGAAGGGATTAGGAAAGAGGCGAGATGACAGTCTAACTAAAACTTTCCGCGGATCGACTGATCCCTTGCGGATCGGAGCCGCACCGAAGCCGTACTAATCTAGACTGATCTAAAAAGGAAAGGGTGTTGAAATCCCGGTTTCAGATTGGCCTATAGGCCTTATATTCAAGTTCCCTCGAATATAAGGCGTGGGCTCAACTCGAGGGAGTTCTGTTTACTGCACCCTCGAGTAGGTATCCGAGCAGCGGACCCTGTCCCCTAGTCAAAAACCCAAAATTAAGAGCCGAGCATACTCACTCTTTGAAATTTTAAGCCTTTTTCGCAATTTTAAGGTATTTTTCATCGTTTAAATTAATAAAAATTGCCTATAAATGAGAAGAAAACACTACCTCGTGCTCAGCGAAAAGGGGGCTGTAATGAAAACCCTAGCGAGTCGTGAGGTACGCACGTGCTTCCATCTACCCTTTACTTTTGATTTAATCCGAATATTTATCAAATAATTATAAAAAAAAATAGCTTTAATAACTGAAAATTCTCATCACTTGCCCCAGGTTACCACAGCGTCTTTTTCCCTTCTTCTTCTAGGGAATTCTTTTGTATTTTTCAATTATAAATTAAAAAAAATGTATTTAGTTAGGATAAAATCTTTTTCTTAGTTTATATATATTAAGGATCAATACATATATAAGCCCGCCGAGTTTGAAGATTTTTAGAGGTAGAAATAAAATTTGGGGAATTTACTAAAATTTCGGCAGCGTTTTGCCTCCCCCCGTTGGGATGGTGTTCGAGCGAAGCCCTCAAACGGCGCTGCCGAAGGGGGAATATCAAAAGGAATAATGGAAAAAAAAAGGAAATTGGATTCAATTTTTTTTTTTTTTAATATATTTTTTTTAATTAATTAGCAAAAATTTAAATTAAAAGGGAAATTTCGAGAAATTTCGACAGCAGTTTTCCTTTTCCCCCGGTGGGATGGGGTTCGAAAAACAGTCCCTCAAATAGGTAAAGTAGATATAAAGTGCATTAAAGTCAAACAAATGCCCCTACGCAATTTTTAATATTTATTTCAATTTTTATCGATTTTAAATAACAAAATCAAAAGTAAAATAATTCTTAAATATTTAATGGAGCAAAAGTTCCCGAATTAATTTCCACAATTTTGCGGGATATATTTAACAAAAAATAATCCGCAACAAACGCGGAAGCTAGAAGCTATAGCTTCCCTCTATTTACCCGCTTCTCTGAAATTGGGGTTAGGACTTTACCCTAATTAGGGTCTTGGGTTTTGCGCGCAATCGCACGCACACCGCAAAGCCCTGCTCGACGCCAGAAATTTTTTGTTAGCTTTCACTAGGTTTAGAAGAAAAACTTATCGGATTACATTTTTTTAAAAAAAATTCTTTTAATTTAAACAAAATTACAAAGAAATTCAATTTCCCGTTGATTTTCTTCCACCTTTTCTATCTGTTGGAGCTCGCCGCTTGTCCAAACGAAGTCCGTTTTCCCCGACTAGGGTCTCAAAATGTTGGGAAAAATACAAGGACCAACTTTGGTCCTCGCGGGGTTCCCCTAATTTCGCTTATTTTCCCGGCCATTTCAATAAAACGAAAATTAAAAATTTTGAAATTTTTAATAAAAAAATACAAAAAAATTCATATCTCGCCTTTTAGCCGTTCGAATTTCTCAGATAATGTCTCAAAACGTTCTAAAAAAATGTCTCAAAACATTCATCTCGTCTCAAAGCGCGCGGATCAGGAGATATCGAGGAAAAACAAATTAGAAATTTTTACTCATAATTTTTTATTTTATCTTTTAGATTTTTAATTAGAAAAATACAAAAAATTCCATATCTTTTTTTCTAGCCGTTAGAATTTTTTAAAAAACGTCTCAAAACATTCGCCTCGACAAGAGGGCGAACTTTGCTTCCAGTGCGGCTCGCGCGAAAGCGCGCGGATCGGGAGATATCGAAAAAAAAAAGAATTATAAAACTAAAGGAAAATAAAAAAATCAGTTAATCAACTCATTTAAAGCTAATTAGTTTAGCCTGCGCACCCCCGTTGATTGGGCAAGGTCGAGGCCTTGGGGGTGCAATCCCCTCCCCGGCAACGACGCCAAAATTTGTGAGAAAACCCGGGGAGGGGTGCCTACCGTTCGCCGAAGCCAAGGGCAACGGCGTCTGTCACCCGTCGCGCCCGCTTCCGAGGTCCTCGGCGAGCAGCAGGGTGTGGGTGTATGATTAGATTCACTGTTTCCACTCTCCTTAAATTTGGTATCCCCGTGTGCTCACGCCATGACAAGTTCAAACAGTCAACATTAGTCCGGGCAAGATCGCGCAATGAGGGGTTTGAATTGTCAACTGTGAGGCTCGCAAGCGCAAACAGTAGTTAGCTTTCAATAGCCAACTTCCAGATCGAAGAGTTCTTACAACACCGTTTAAACAGTCAACTGCCAAGCTCGCAAGGTCAAGCAATAGTTAGCTTTCAATAGTCACTTCCAGATCGAAGAGTTCTTACAACACCCCGTTTAAATAGTCAACTGTCAAGCCCGCAAGGTCGTGCAGTGGGGAGTTCAATTTTTCAGCCATAAGAACATGCGGCAGTAAGTTTCAAAGACGATGTCGATTCGCCCAGCTTGCGGCAAGTCACTTTTTCACGTACTCATTGTCCAGGGACAACATTCAGAGACTTAGCCACTTCACGTAGCTCAAAAAGATCCAGGACATTGCAAGGTCCCCTTCACCCGTAATCCTTGTCCAGGGGCAACATACGGGGGCCAGCCCCTTTGCAAGCGGAGAGAAGTTCACAGATTGAGGGGTCACGTAGTTCAAAATTAGGGAGAAAGGTTGAATTTCTTCCCCCAAGCCTCTTTCGGCCAGCTAGCGGTAAATGAGCGATCTGGCAAGTCCGTTCCCTCTCTCTCTCTCTCTCTCTCTCTCTCTCTCTCTCTCTCTCTCTCTCTCTCTCTCTCTCTCTC